AAGTATGGTATAAAATAAGTAATTAATTTGAATAAGTCTTGTTAATAATTTTGTTATATTGTAAACTATGTAAATTTGTAAAAAATTAATCCACCTAAAATTTGTAAAATACTAAACCATATATTTATTTTAAAAATTACAACACAAGGAGTAATTTGGCATTATTAATAAATTATAGTGCCGAGATATTGAAATAACATTGAGTAACTTTCTCTCATAGTTATGTGTCAAATTGCAGTTATGTGTCATGCTACTGTTACTAATATTTAAAATTGTTAAAAAACTAAGCATAGAGTTATGGAATGCAAGAATTATAAAAACATGCTGTAAAATCACAACCCACCTCTTATGAAATATAATAACTCACAAACTATTAGGAATATCTAAAATATTTGCAATTTAAATAAATAAGGTTCTTCTGTACATTTCTATATGCACTTCATTATTTCTGGTTGCCAATCTCAAAACAGTTTATCTCTGCATAATTTCTACAGATCTCAAATGATATCATATCCAGTGTTGTTGACGAATTACTGAAAACACATGCCCGCTATATAAGATGGAGTTTTCTAAATGACAAGGGTGATTTGTTTCCTCTAAATTGTGAATCGGGATCTGGAAAACTTCTGTTTCAAAGCCGTTGCAAAGGTATATTGTAATGAAAAGTTATTGTAATGAAAAGTTACCTCGAGGAGAGTGAAAATGAAGTGTTTATCGACATGCTTTGCTAACGTTTTCCATGATGCTGTTCACTTCAAAACATAGAAAACGACAAAATGCGGGGAGATTATAACCCTTACATTAATTAAATATGACGATCGTCCTCCATAGTTGAATGCCTAATTCACTTTGATATAATTTACACACTTTGAGAGGCTGATTTTTATAATCCTGGCATAAAATTTCAGTGACCCTGATTTTGAAGGCAATATTTGCTTCTTTAAGATCTACTACTCAAGCGAAAAATATAAATTAAAAGAACTGCTTGGCTAAGTGTAATGGTATGATCCTCTTCTCTTGAAGTTATTAATCTACCAATAAAATTTGATGAGGATGAATTCAATTTAGAGAGCATCAGTACAAAAAACTGCATAAAGGCAGAAATAAGATTTCATTTTAAAATTTTCTGGCATTTATACTTCCTCTGGAAAGCATATATAATGCTCGCATCTGCTTAAAGTTCTGTCCCAATAAATGTATCTTTTTAGTAATATTACATGATGGCGAAGCTTCATTTTCTTTACCCCAAGATCAAAGTATATCTGGAATTGCTCTGTAAAGTGAATTTAATTTTCTATGAAAGCGAAACTATAGATATATTTCTTTTGATCTTCAGTAATTAATGAGTAATTAATGCTAATACCCATTTGAAATGCTTACTTCTCTACCACTTGTGTATGAACGCGCACGTTTTTAATCGACTAGTTGGAAGTCGGTCTCGAGAAATTTACTATTCAATAAGAACAAATATGAGCCTTATTTTTGTAAATACGTGATAGAATTTGAGGTTTTTGGTACCATAAGTTAGTATCAAACTCCTAACAGATGTAGAGAGAATTATTGCTGGTCTGAAGTAACAACATAATCCTGAAATGGTTTACACAATATTTCCATTAAAACAGAACTTGAACATAGAGACACGTCTCGTGCTTGGAAAGATGCAACTTAATTAGCAGTCATGTCAAACGATAAACTGAATCTAGCAGTCAAAGGCTGCACAAGTGATTTAAAGAGCGATGTTGGCTCAAAACTTCTAATCGGTGTAATGATTTAAATATCGGCAGCAATATCGCATGGATAATCCTAGTAAGTGACCTCGAGAGACAGAAAAAATCATAATTACTGGTTAATTAAAATCATAATAACATTACGAATTTAAGAAAAGACCTCAGATAAGATTGGCAAATCTTCTCCTATGTCAAACTTTTTTCTAGAGCTTAGTCAAACATGCCGTTATCATTTACCTGCGTTGTTAAATGGTTCTTACTATTTTACTACTAATTTGGAGTTTTTGTTATAACTGATTCCAAATGTTATCATATCCAGTGCTGTTGACGAATTACTGAAAACACATGCCTCCTATGTAAGATGGAGTTTTCTAATTTGGAGTTTTTGTTATACAGATTCCAAATGTTATCATATCCAGTGCTGTTGACGAATTACTGAAAACACATACCTCCTATGTAAGATGGAGTTTTCTAAATGACAAGGGTGATTTTTTTCCTCTAAATCGTGAATCGGGAGCTGGAAAACTTCTGTTTCAAAGCCGTTGCAAAGCTTTAGGTATATTGTAATGGAAAATTACTTCGAGGAGAGTGAAAATGAAGTGTTTATCGACATGCTTTGCTAACTTTTTCCATGATGCTGTTCACCTCAAAATATACAAAACGACAAAATTCGAGGAGATTACAGCCCTTACATTCATTAAATATGACGATCGTCCTCCATAGTTGAATGCCTAATTCACTTTAATATAGTTCTTATAACTTTGTTATAAGCTATCAACCAGACAATAGTTTATGTTTAAACATCTTCTACCTGATTTTATCTGCTTATCATTTGATAACATTTAATTATCTGTTGAATGGAATCTGAGAACAGCGAAATTTTACTTACCCCCTGTGTTATTGTGTAATTTAACAGTTAAGTCCTCTGTTAATTTATCCTCCCTGTATTTGCTAAACGTATGGTTTAAAAGATTTGTGACATTTAAAATTAAATGGTGAGGAATTGAAAGCATACTAACAGTTCTTAACTTAACTAACATTTAAGTTTCTAATTACATTAAATTAAATTAATTAAAAGCTATTATGATTATAGATGTTATAGTGTTGCGTGGCCCCAACTTGTCAGCAACTATGGAAGTGACTGCTATGAACTAAAAATTACACAAACTCGTAAGAAGAATTTAAATCCCTTTTTATTCCACTTTAGAAATAACAGCTTCACTGACGCTCACAAATTACGCCGACCCGGTTTAACAAAAAAGAAATGTGAAAACTAAAATAAATGACAGGATGAATAAAATAACGAGATCACTACCTACGAGGCTCTAAAATCGTAACTAAACTTAACCGCGTTCTAAGATACAGCTGAGATTCAGCAAGCTTACTGATTAAGCAGTTGAAGATTGAAGATTCACGAAATGCCGAAATAGGCACACAGGCCGAAACGCGCGGGTTCTAAATTTCTACCTAGCAACCTACACGCTCGCGATTCAAGAAGCACACATACAATCTCGTTTCCCTTCTATTTAAACTCAACTTACTTCTGCTAAATTTGAATATACTGCGCGTTCTACTACAATTTACATACTCTGGCATTGGCAATTCTAGGGAAAAGTAAAGGCTTGACAGGAAAAATAGCTTAAAATAAATGTTAGTTAAAATAAATATAAACCCTACAATGTCACCAAATTTCGACGTATGTGTCGAAATAACGCTAAATTCATTCAGCGAGTATCTCGAAACATATTTAAGATACTGGTGTAAACAAAAAGGTACTTCCTATGAACTTAGACAATAAATTAGATGATGTAAGAGCAACTGACATATCTATAATATTCATAGAGGGATTTAAGATAAGTCTATATCTTTTCAACAAAGACAGTTCGCTTTCTGTAGTTACATTATCAGTTTCAACTCCCACGGACTTCCGAGATTCAACGGGAAAATTTCAACGAGGACTAGTCTTTTGCATATAATGTACTGAACTCAATCTCACCTTTCATGCAATTCTCATGCTGTATGGATTTAATTTTTTTAAGTTATAATTTTTTTATTTCGCATTATATACCTAATGAAATATGCATTATTATGTTATGCTCCTACGAGATCCACCAAAACAAAATATTCTTATATCAACAAAGTACGTATACACTGCGAGCACAGTTCGATATCTCCCGTTCTACTGGGCCGATTGACGAAATTCAACTTGCATTTTTCATGTCTCGAAAGCTTGACTTAGGATATGTATTAGATTTATATATAGCATTGTTCTAATATAGATATTTTGCCATAAAATCGGACCTTTTTCTGAAATAACATACCATTTTTTTTCCATATTTCGACTCTACGACTTAATTACACCAAACTAACAAGTTTTGCAAAAATTGCACAAGTAGCTTTTAAAATATTAGCTCTCAAAATTTTAGCTTCTCAATGTTAATTGAGTTTGGCATATATTCATTAATCTCTCTTTCTTAATTTAAGCTTATTTGATTTTTCCTTTCACATTTCGAAATTCAGGTTCTTTCGAAATAAAATTCATCCATTTTTTTTTATGATTTTTTTAATTTGCATTTTAAAATAATTTTTATAAATTTTTCAAAAACAATTTTGAATTGTAATCTATAAAAAGTTTACCATCATCTTAAAGTAGACGTATTTCTAAACATACCTGCAAAAAATTACAATATTTTATTCAAAATGTCCGAAGATGACGCGAATTCATATATCGGCGCGTTTTGAAATTTGGCACATTTGTTGAAAGCGATAAAACATCAGATGTGGTTTAAACACTTTGCTAAAATTATTTCGAAGTAGAAGCGATGTGACCTGGCATAATGGAAAGAAAAGAAAATTGGTTGCCATATATTAAGAAGTTCGCAAGTTAATTATTCTTGGCTAAACTGAAAAAATATCGCCAAGATAAATTTTTGAATTTCTCCGTAAATTTCGCACCCAATTTTTCAAAATTCAATATCTAGGCATAATTTGAGTCGTAGAATCGAAATATGAAAAAACATTGGTATGTTATTTCAGAAAATGTCCGATTTTGTGTCCAAATACCTACGTTAGAACGATACTATATATAAATCTAATATGAACCCTAAGTCGCGCTTTCGAGGCATGAAATCGCAATTTGAATTTTGTCCATCGGCCCAGTAGAACGAGAGAAATAGAACTGTCGTCCCCACTTTTTTTTTGTGTGTGCGCAGTGTGCATTAAATTCATGAAAGAGATATAATTTGTATCTTATTTACTTAAGTTACTACTTACATCTTTCAGCTTTCCAAGGTCTGAAGCATTGACCATTCCTTTCTGGTAGCTCTTAGCAGTTTCAATTACAGGATCTGAAAAGCGCACCCTTATCTTGCAATACATTCCTCGGAACATTTCTTCTTTAGGATCCGTAGTTTCCTCTCCTTTTTTCGTCACAGCTAAGTTAATACATTCATCATAACTGCCCATGGAATAAGAAGTCCCTGTTAAAATTCCAGCAGTCGGTTTGCCCATGCTGTCTAGAACTAAAAGAAATATACTTTATTGCGTGAGTACATTAAACAAAACAAACCGAAAAACGAAAGGAGAAAAGATGAAAATCTGAAAGGACTCAGATTTTAACTTTGCACTACCTTTGTTAAAGTTCTTTATACTCTCACTAAGCTCGCTGTTGACGAAACTGCTACTGAACTTAGTCCTGCTAATGCTTTTTTTTTCCTTTTTAGCTCTATTAATAAACATAATTTGCTTCGCACTTACATCATATAAAGTTTAATAATTCAATTTTAAAACTATAAAAAGTTTAAAAGCAGTAGATATTTAGTATTCCTAATTAAATGTTAAGTTTCGTAATACATTTTTCTTTTTTAGTCCAAAGGGATTTGAATCCCGAAGGACTATTAGTTTCGTTTTGGCATTTTGCGTCGGACGGATATGTCGGTTCACTTTTCAAACTGTTGCCATAAAATGTTAGAGTCCATTATATTTGAAGAAATTAAATAATGAAAATCTGCGTAAATGTATGTATAATTCTCACATTGTGACAAAACAACGGTACATAGAGTCATCGAATTTTGAATAACGTAATCCTCCAACGAATATGAGCATGTGGAAGACCAAATTTGAAATTTGAAATTTGTTTTATGATCGATTTCCTATTTTTTAAAACTTTGACGAATTTTTGATTAACAAACTCAAGAATTTCAAAGCGAGCAATGGCAACGTTGTGCAGAAAAAACATTTTTATCTCCGCGTGAGTCTCTGTATCGAAAATTCTAAAGATATGCTCGTTTAAAAACTATTTTGCGATGTTGCTGTTGCACTGGATCTTATGGTTTAAGTGCGAGGAACATGATATTTAATAAAGAAAGGTAACACACAAAATGTTAAAAAACGCCCCTTTGGACGTAATTTAAAATCTGAAACATTTAAGATTTTTTTTTTTTTTCAGTCTTTTCTCATATCAGTGTTTAGTTTCTTAATGTGATGTCTTACACACTTTTTTCTTTTCTTTTTAGCTTTATTATTAAACATTACTTTCTACGAACCTTATTTACATAAAACATTTTGTTTTATTTTCTCTATGTTATTTCTTTAAAAATAATAAATGGCGATAATATTTGGTTGCAACATTTCAAACGTCATACGAGCACAAAAAAGATACCGAAAAAAAAAGCGAATTTCGAGACTAATAGCACTTCTGGTGCTAAAAAATCTTATGTGGCCAGCACATGACTTATTGGCCACCATATCATTAGATTACGTGCTCTTCAATATTTTACCCGAGACAATTAAAATAAAATAAAACATAGCATTCGTTAGTTGGAGAAGCCGTCATATCTTGTCCAGGAACACAAAATACACACAGAAGAATCGACAAGATTTAAACAAAGTAAATGGGCTCAGAAATAGTCGTGTACAGTCAACGGTCTAAAAGCGGTCACCGCAGCATCCGGAACTAGATAGAAAGTAGTGCTGAGGAAACTCCAAGATTTAGTAGAGGAAGAGAGAGCAGACACTAAATGAAAGGACCGTCTGAAGATTATTTTAATTTCCAGTTTTGAGATGACGGTCATAGACTTCAAGTTTAGTCAGCTATAGACTTCCAGTTTAACAAATCCATTCAAAGGTTATTTCAGTTCAACACGTCCCTAAAATTTCTAGATGAACAAACCCAGTTTTTTCAACTTAATAAAATTATTAAAACTTTAGATTTTCATTTTCTGTTATTACTCGTATACGTGCTACGGTCCCAGTTTTTTCAACTTAATAAAATTGTTAAAACTTTAGATTTTCATTTTCGTATACTCGTATACGTGCTACGGTCCCAGTTTTTTCAACTTAATAAAATTGTTAAAACTTTAGATTTTCATTTTCTGTTATTACTCGTATACGTGCTACGGTCCCAGTTTTTTCAACTGAATAAAATTGTTAAAACTTTAGATTTTCATTTTTTGTTATTACTCGTATACGTGCTACGGTCCCAGTTTTTTCAACTTAATAAAATTTTTAAAACTTTAGATTTTCATTTTCTGTTATTACTCGTATACGTGCTACGGTCCCAGTTTTTTCAACTTAATAAAATTGTTAAAACTTTAGATTTTCATTTTTTGTTATTACTCGTATACGTGCTACGGTCCCAGTTTTTTCAACTTAATAAAATTGTTAAAACTTTAGATTTTCATTTTCTGTTATTACTCGTATACGTGCTACGGTCCCAGTTTTTTCAACTTAATAAAATTGTTAAAACTTTAGATTTTCATTTTCTGTTATTACTCGTATACGTGCTACGGTCCCAGTTTTATAAAAACGTATATACCATATATATACTCAGGCAATTTAGCTTAAGTTTTTACTAATTTTACTGTACGAAACTGACGAGTAGGAAATAATGAGAATAATTTAATTTTCAAATTTCACGGTTACATTAAAATCATACACAAAAAGTATTCATGATAAACCACCGACATTGTCACAATATTATTTTGTAAAAGAAACCCGTGTTTTCATAAGAATAAACAGTAATATTAGCTATATAATATCTAATAAAATACCTACTTTTCTTTTTTTCTGTATTTTGAATATAGTCTGATCTCACTTTATCCACTACTACGCTGCCTCAAATGATTCTGTGCTGCTGGAACCAACTGTGCCGTATACTATAGCTTGCATGCCATCGCTTTCTTCACCATTCAGCCTGTCTTTCCAGTACACTGATCTTCAGGCCCATCAAGTTCATTCAGTGAAATAATTTTCTTGAAGCTTAACATTATTGTTTTATCACTCAGAGACCATTCTACCCAGATCTTCAAGCAAATCAAAACAAAAACAAGCAATACTTGGACAAATCTATTGGGTCAGTCCATAAATTCGTGCGCATTTTTGGTAAATTTTTAAATAATATAAAAAACACAATTTAACATTTTAATCAAGTATATGTTTTCCTCCATTATCTACAATGTCTCGCCATCTTACAAGCAGCTTTTTATGCCATTGCTATAGAAAGACTCTGGTTTTGATGCAAAAAAACTTGAAAGTTCACTGCGTACATCCTTTTTAGAATTTAATTTTTTTTTCCATTAAAAACTTTTGTCAGGCACGAAATAAGTGAAAATCACTTGGGGCAATATCTGGGAGTAAGCAGGATGTGGCAAAACCTCCTAATTAAATTCACTAATTTTTTGCAGCGTTGTTCGAGCCGTATGCGGTCTAGCGTTATCATGATGAAACAACACTTTCTCGATATTCACTAATCATGGGCGTTTTTTCATCAATTCTGAGTTTAGACAGCAAAGTTGTTCACTATAAACTTTTGAATTAATCGCTTGATTTGGTTCTAACAGTTCAAAACGTCCTGAAAAACGGGGTTCATCATCAATGCTGCTTTTTTCAACTTTAAATTTTTTAAACCATTTCTGGGCAGTCCTTACATTAACAGTGTGTTCACCATGTACACTATTAATTTTTATCGCTGCAAACCTGACAGATTCATTGCACGAAAATAAAAAATGTAGCACAGTTACGTTTGTACTGATTATCTATATTCATTTTCTATGGGTATCTACTATATTCATCTTCTATGCATTGATATTTACGAAAGTTGGTGATGAACTGAATAATATGTTAGTCAAACGATGACAAGTTTCAACAGGTTCAAAATTGTATTGTTTTAGTAAATGCGTCATAGTGAATTCCACGCATACTCTTAATGCACACGAATTTATAGACTGACCCTACTTTAAAATTTAGAGGAGCTTGCTTTCTGAACTCGTTGAGGATTAGGGCAATTGCATGAATATTTACAAAAGATTCAGCATTTTGTGGTAGAAATTAGTGAGAGAAGAAAATACTCAAGGAGGAAAGTGCAGGAGTATATACGATATTTTGTTATAAATTCCACGGGAAAATGCCAGAGAGAAAAATGTTTCCCATGGCCAAATTAAATATTTAAGAAAGAACTTAACTTTTCTTATCAAAATTACCCAGGTTCTACTAATTAAAATTTCCCCGTACAGTATAAAAATACACATTACAGTATAAATGCTTACAGTATAAAAGTACAGTATAAAATACAGAAACATTGTACAAAATTTGATATTTAATTAAACTTGCTTTTATATAGCTGCCAGGTCTATGATCATTTCCTCCGGAAGACAGTTATTAAAATTACATATTTTTGAGAAATTTTATTATTCCTTTTGCCTAGTAATGTAATGTCATCGGTGTAAATCTGTACAAAAAGTTAAATGTCATATAGTTTTAATAAAATTAATGACATGACTAAAATTGCCATTTGGAAATTTTAATACAAAATTCAACCTTGTTAAATTCATTTCCTAAACTGTAGCCACGGAAGAGACAGCTGTGTGTCTAGGGCAGTGATGGCGAACCTTTTCGGGGCCACTTGCCCAAATCCTTTTTTTCGGGAGGGGGGCGGCGTGCTCAAAACCTCTTTTATTAAATCCCCATCGAAGTGCGGCATTAGGTATTTTTCGGAAGCAGAAGAAGAGAAAAATTAGCAACGCCTTCCCCGGGAATCGAACCGCGGACCTCTGTAATAAGTGCCTAGCGTACAGACCACCACACCACGAAGACCACTAGACCACGCGTAGGTCCGTCCTCTCTTGCTTCAAAAATACCTAATGTCTCTACAGTATGTAAAATAACCTTCAAGGACACGAGGGATCCTGAAGGGCAGCAAAGTAATAGGATCTCGCTCAATATACAATGAATAAACATGCAGAAATGTATCATGGCAATATTATACATTAAATAGAATTAAGTGCATGTGATTTGAGACAACTTTATAAAATTTGGACCAGTCAAAAAACCTTAGAGGTAAGTGTGAGAAGTTCAAGGATAACTAACTATCTTCCGCCTATGGTGGAACACTCGAAAAATTCAAATTATATTGAAATAAAAACTTTAAGTCTGTACGCATGTATAGTACATGTGAATGCTTTTTACAGTTAATAAACTCCCAACATTTTTTTTTCATTCATGCTGTTTTTACAATTCTACATTTTTTAACAGTATTCTGCATTTTGAACCTGGCAGAATTCAATTATTCCCATACTAGAAACAGTGTCTCGTGTAAAGAAAGTTTCGTATAATGAACACTATCCTAGAAAGATTTTCATCTGATCTCTTATAATAAAGCCTTTGGACTTTCAAAGAGAAATTTACAACTGATTTGGTTTTTCTTTATAAAACTACTATAATTTAACATAGAGTTATTAGGTTTGTCGAAGCTAGAAACATGAAAAGTGTGCAATGCCTTCATCGGGATTTTAATTCCCGATCTCCCAGCTGCTACTCAGACATGCTTTAACTTACCCCTGGAAGGCAGGTGATAAGGAGGGTGAAAATGCTTTGCAACATAGTTTAAATAAAATACATGTTACGGATTGCTTAATTAATGTATGAGAATACCAGAAATGAAAGTTATATTCAAAGATTAATGCATAGTTGAGAGAATTTTACTAAATCAGTATGAAATATTATACTATATTTTAAGCCTATTTAATTAGAAAAATCAGTTATTTAAATCACATTTCTTAAGATCTAATGAATGTACAGTCATTAGTTTCCAGAGTGCGAAATGGTAATGTATTAACATAATAAAAATTACAAGTTATTTCTCATGGAAGAAAAATCTACATAAAATTTCAAGCTTTTTCTTGTAAGAGTTACAAGTTATTTTTTCATGAAATAACTAAATTCACTCACATAAAGATCATGAAAATAATTCCATCGAATTCTTGAGCTCCTAAGGATTATGAAAATAATTACACCACATTGTTGAAGTGGAATTTCCTTTAAGTTATGTTAAATTATTTAACTGTAACGTTTATGATGATGCATTGTACGGATTACAATGTTCTAAATTAGTTAACACATAAATTTTTAAAAATTTTAATGACTCTTAGCTTTTACTTTCATTAAAAGAAATAGACAACAGCTGTTGCAATTGCAGCAAATTTGCATTATTAATATATATTGTTATTGATTTCAATTGTTTTTAAGTAATGGGACCTATTAGTTTAGGAATAATTTTGTTGTCTTATTGGAAAGAAATTATATTACCGGAAGGACAGAGATGCTGTTTATAAAGAGAAAAATAATAGAGAGAATAATTTCGTTTAAACAAATCTATATTAAGTAAGAAATCCTACCAAATTTTATTAAAGACATTATAATATTTCACTCTAACTGCTTGATGAAAGGAATGTATATATAAATTTAGCAACAATTTTGTGTTTTTCCTGGATTTTAGTTAAAACTCTATCGATTTTGACGGCAAACAGGTTCAGATCCCTCTTCATCAGGTGCAAAGAAATCTGGAGAAGAATCCCCCAGATTTCTTTGCTAATGAAGAGAGACCGGTACCAGACTGCTTATGAAATTATGTCTTCTCTAAAATCTGTGCCAAACACAATGTTGTTGCTTTTTTAATTTTGCGTTTTACTTCGGTATGTTTTTCTTCTGCCCTGAATGTATATATGTTTAAAGTTTTCGGAAATAAGAATATTTCATGTAAGAATATTTCATGCGTCTCAATTATTGCATTATGTAAAACAAAAATATTTGCTTCCTATGCATTGGAAATGTTACAATATATTACAAATTTAATGCAATATACTTACGTTTTAATGTCCATCCTTTGAGTCGTCGGATGCTTCCGAAAATTTTCATCATCCCTGCAGTGCATCTTGGCGATAATGAAGCAGATCCAGAACCACTAACCACTTTCGGAAGTATCGACCTTAACAAGGAATTAATAAAATCTGTAATTTCTTTCTCCGCTTCTTTGAAAGTTTGTTGCGGAACCACGGTTGTAGTTTCTGTAACATTATTTACTTCATTTGTCACATTAACTTGTTGGGCCAAAGTTGCCCTCAACGAAACATTCAAGAGAAATAGGAGACAGAGAAATTTCAAACGCATTGCTTTTTGCAAAGCGAAACACTAAAACAAACGAAATACTGTGATAAAATTGGGCTGAGGCGCTAGACGTGACCTAAAGGAAAATTATAATCAGTTTAATTTTTCCTCCGGACTTGCTTCGGTTTGTTTTTTTTTTTTGCTTAAGAAAGGTCCTTGAGAAATCTTTCCGCCGTGCTTCAGATTTCCGCCATTATTCTTCAAAATGTCATTCATATGCCGCAACTTTTACATGCACAACTCAATTTTCTGAGAAAGGAGCTGTCAGACTGGGCGAAAGAAAACAGTATACTAAAATGTAAAGGGAGACAAGATCAAGAGGAAAAAATGGGATGCAGTATATATGTGAATACAAGAGAGCTGAATAAAATATTTGAATGCATAGATTCCTTTCAGGGATAAAATAATTTACATTAAAAAATGCTAGTGAAAAGGTAATTGTATAGATGCGATACCAATATAATTTAAATTTTTCTTGAACGCAGAGGTTTAATTAGAATATTATTTACAGTGATTTTAATAAATCAAAGTTTTAATATTACTATGACAACATCAGTAGTTAATAGTAAAGAATAGATTAAACAATTATGAGTAAATTACCTGCGAGAAGAGAATTTCTATGAACTTTTAACTTAAGATCTGATAATTCGAAATTCCACTTTTAATCACGATATTATTTTGTTAAAAATTTAAAAGCATTTGTTTTAATGTAACGACAACAATTTTTATTTTAATTAACAAACAAATAACGACAACAATTTTTATTTTAAAAAATATATTGAATTGGATTGGATTGGATTATTTTAATTATGGCAAAGCACACGAGGGCTATCTGCCTAATTTAAAAAATAGAAGAAATGTAACTGTGATGTTAATTAAATTTAAATTAAGTTCATTTTCAACTCAAAAGAACCCATTAAATATTTGCCATTTATGACTCTGTATCGTTTAAATTAATCCGTACCATTTTTTAATTTATTAATTGAAAATTAATTAATACATTTTAATACCAGATTATCTACATTTTATTTTTATGTTTTTTTAACTATTGATTTTTATTTATTTCTTATTTATTTATACTTATATATATATATATTATATATATATATATATATATATAATTAAGATATAATAAATAAATAAATCAAAATTTGGTGATTAACAGTCTGACAGGAACATATGTAATTAATGGAAAACTTAGAACTAAAAATTCAAATCATAATCATTCAGTAATGATGTAAGTGATAAATTAAGAAATTTTTTTTTTCATTTTTTCAAAACACGTATAAACATTTACCAAATACTATAAGGATAATTTAAAATACTTTTGTAATCGGAAATATATGTCTGCCACCAAAGTTTAGGAACATAACGAATTTTGTGGTGTATATTTGCAGTTATTAGGTTTATTTCGAAGCAGAAAACATAAAAAATATTAGCAATGCCTTCGCCAAGATTCTAAATCCGGACCTTCATATTGCCAGCCAAACGTGCTCCCAATTACACTAAGAAGACACGCTGTAAAGAAAGAGAAAACTTTACAATATCCTTTCCTTAAAGGGCGACTGGGGACAAAGCAGTCATTCGCCAATTATCATCCACCACATTTTTCGTTCCAGTGCTATTTCTAGAGTCTTTGGATTTTTTGGGGATAGAAAGATATTTTTTTTGTTTGTTTTTTTTTTTTTTTTTTTTTTTTTTTTTTTTTTTTTTTTTTTTTTTTTTTTTTTTTTTTTTGTTTTTTTTTTTGGGGAAGAGCGAAGAACAGAAACAAATTAGCGATGCGATCTTCGAAATTCAAACTCCGGATCATTCTATGTTAGCTGGACGTGCTTCCAGTTATGCTACGATGAAGGAGAAAGGCAAAGAAGCAGAATTTCCTTACATATTTTTCTCAATTTTTTTTTTTTTTTTTTTGGAATCTGCTGACTCATTACTGGTTAATATTTCTTCTGTGAATTTTTAAGCAATTTAATTTTTCCTCCAAGGAACTTGAAACGTTGCTTAAACTACATTTTATGAACCTTGAAGCATATTGAATTTGCTATAAATTTAATTTAATTTCAGAAGCGCAGTTTGTCACCACTGAGCCTAAAATTTCAGATATTTACGCTAAACTTATGCTGTAATTGTCTGATTATTGGAAAGCATTTTTAAAAAGAGAAGACCCACCAGCGGCCGAGCGGTAAAGACGCTGGACACTGGTAGTTCGGTCCGAGGTTCGAATCCCGCGAACGGACTGGTTGCATGGGTGTTTTCGTGGTTTTCCGCATGTGTAACGTGTCTACGAGCCAGCTTCCCTTAGAACGTCCTCCACGAAGGCGTCCCTCACTTTAGGCAGATAGCCCTCGTGTGCTTTGCCATAATTGAATAACCCATAAGCCTTAAAAAGCGTAACGCAATAGCCAAAATATTATTATGTAAATTTGTAAAAAAATAAATAAACTTGAGTTCATTTGTATCTTATTTCCCTTAGCTAAGGTTTTTTTTTCTTTATTCAAAGTTCTGTCGTTGCCTTCCCGCTAGGACTTTTTGCATAAATAAACAATGCACTAGCTGAGAAATTCCGTTCTTAATAATATAACTGCGAATTTGATTTTAATCTTCATAGTACTAGCTTACGAACATAAGGAAAAGCGTATATTGCGATAATGTAAAATTTAACATTACAGTTTTCTCTTACCTAAATAAGGCCCACCAGCGGCCGAGCGGTAAAGTCGCTGAACACTGGTAGTTCGGTCCGAGGTTCGAATCCCGCGAACGGGCCGGCTGCATGGGCGTTTTCGTGGTTTTCCCCAAGTGTATACGAGCCAGTTTCCCTTAGAAAGTCCTCCACGAAGGCATCCCTCCTCTTAGGCAGATAGCCCTCGATGCTTTGCCATAATCACAAACACACACACACACTTACCTAAATAATTAGAAAAAAGTTAATTACAATTTTAACGTGTAACATATTCTAAACGCAACGCATTAATTTTATTTTAAATATATTTTCACCCGCTTTGAACGGTAATGTTTTTATGAACTGCGCATAGTAATTTTGTATTTTCGGTTGTATCGCCTCAGTGATATGTAAGTAATGCGGAAATAAAGATTTATTAACATGAGTGAAGAATATTTCTTAAAGAAAGTAAGTTAAGGTAACATTTCAGAAGTGGGATTAACTAGAATTATTACCTAGGATTTAACAACGTACTACATATTATCTTAATGTACGTTTGCCTAAACTGAATGCTTAAGCTCGCCAAAACTGAAGGTAGAGAGGTAAATGCATTTATAATAAGCTGTTTATGTTATGTTTGGTAAAAGCGCAGAATAGGCTGCTTCAACAAAGTTGAGAGGTTGGAGCTGTGTGATGTCCATAAATTGGAGGGACTAAGCTTGTGACGTCACAATGTATTCTCTCATTTACACTACGCGTACTTTCTATTTTCTCTTAAAAATGAATAATAATGAATTGTTTATTATTGTAAATTAACGTGAAATTGTTTATTTTCAATTTTACATTTATGACATTTAAGCTTAGGCATTATTGAAAATAAGTATAATAAATAGTTTATATTCAAAATTCCTTCATACAGCGAGCTAATTCTACCAGTTATTAAAACGATGAACAACGTCGTAGTCTCTAATACTTGTATCTCATACAGCTTCAATACTTTTAAAGATTTTTAAGCTTTAGCATTTATACAAATAAAAAAAAATTTTTTTAATTTAAATTCATATTGTCAAACATTTCAATTTTATCATTTTATAAAATCACCTTATTGCTACGTAACGACATAATTTCTTACATACCCGTAATTAGGCAGTTTTTATTATTTTCTAAAAATTTTTAATTTTACATTAATAAAAAGAAGAGTATTTTTATTGCATATGAACATCATTACACAACTTTCATACCAGTTTCTAAAATTCCTAAATCACACCATATTTGAACGGTAATGTTTTTTGAAGTGCGTATAGTAATTTTGTAATTTCAGTTGTATCGTCTCAGTGATATGTAAGTAATGCGAGAATAAAGAGTTATTAACATCAAGGGAAGAATATTTCTTAAAGAAAGTAAGTTAAGCTAACAATATGGTCCATAACCCAGATGACAAATTTATATTTCCATATGATACCATGTCCACAAAAATCTCCGTATTATTTTTACTTTTGCAACTATAGGTAAAAATTTAAGCGCCCCAAATTTCAATCTCGTAAGGCTGAGTAATTTATTGACATATCAAAGTAATTGAGATATTTAATTTCAAAATTTGTGACTTTGACATCCATTTCGGCTTGCCTTGAAGGGTTGGCTAAAAAAGAATTCAGATACTTAATTGATTTTTTGAGGTTGATTTTTTCTCTTATATTATTTGGTGATATTCTTTCACAATTTGCTAGTCTTTCATTTATTTATAATTTTCTAGTCGTTAATTAATAATTGCTGACCTTTAGTTATGTTGTAATAAAAAATATAATACTTTTCTTTAATTTTACTTAACATAAAGTACCTATAATATAATATACTATATTAAGATATATTTTTCTGGTGATGGAATGGGGCTCCACGAAAACACTCGGTGGTTTTAAAGGTTCCTTTCGTTTAGGGTTTCTTAAACTTTTTTCAGTCGTGACCCCTTTTCATCACTCAGATTTTTTCCCGAAAACCAGGACCCTATAATATTTACAAAATTTTGTGGGACCCCCCATAAGTATTGCGCAAATCCGACACACGCGTGAGTGAAACTGTCAATTTTTCTGGTGGTGTATTTAATTACGGCAAAGCACACTAGGGCTATCTGCCTAAGGGGAGGGGTGCCTTCGTGGAGGACTTTCTAAGGGAAACTGGCTCGTATACACGTTACGCATGGGGAAAACCACGAAAACACCCATGCAGCCAGCCCGTTTGCGGGATTCGAACCTCGGACCGAACTACCAGTGTTCAGCGACTTTACCTCTCGACCGCTCTGTCAATTTTTCTACTTGTACTGTAATATACTATTGCAGTTTTAGGTCATTAACTTTAATTTCTAATTTTGAGACGTAGAACAATGTGAAAATGTTAATTACATTCGATAATTTTATTAATTA